CATCCATAATAAGCAGCATGCCTGAATTGGTACTAAATAGGGCAGCCTTGAAGAGAAAATGTAGCATTTTGATCAGATATAGAAGGAAATTCTGGAGGTTTCTTTACATTACTGAATTTACACAAGGGTTAAAACTATTAGGAGTGTAGAGTTAGAATCCTGTACTGATGATTCAAAGACTTTTCCTTGTACAGGGTTTGATTAAAGGCAAGGAGAGGTGAAGAAATCCCAGAAGATCTCCAGAAGTCATTAGAATGACAATGAAAGGATCATATTTTTAGTTAAGAAAATTGAGTTTCTAGCTACTGCTGTACGCTGCTTTAAAAAGCAAAAAATATCTTGAGTCCTTTCCATCTTCCCTGCTTGCTTAAAAAAAAAAAGAAAAGAATAACTATTAATTTTATGCTAACCATTCAGGACCAAAGGATGAAAATTGACTGCTTAATAAAAACACACATTATAATTCGTGGCGATTTGGGAATAGCTACAGACACACTAACCATCCATTATACACTTTACTGTTGCTTCAGTAACACGGCTCCTTATTTAATCCTTGCACTGATTAACAAACTGGAATAGAATTAATAGCAGCTCTACATGGAACTATCAACACTTGCTTTGCTTTTGAAACTGAAGAGTCTCACTTTCCAGGGTGAGAATAAATGATGTGGGTTGTTTTTTGTTTTTTTGGTGTTTTTTTTTTTTAATTCTTTTGCTGTCTGACTAACATGAAGTGAAATATGAATAAGCTTTTGTTTCAGTGAAGTCAATTATTTGTCTGCTGGCATAAAACATGAGAACGGTTACATGTGGGATAAGCTGTAGAAAAGCAGTCTTCTTTAACTAGACAACACTGAACGCACAAGCAAACATGCAAAACAAATGGAATTCTTTTCATCTCCCACACTTTCCATTTCCTTTTGAGGAGTTAAAATGTGCAGGTAAAACTGATGAAAGAAATAGAAAAAGAAGCTTTTCTCAGATTTTATTTGGATATTCTTTTTCAAAGTTCCAAAGCAAATCCAGCCTCTTATTCATGTTGAACTCCCAACCTAAATGCACAAGGTTTGACTCCACCAGCTGTTTTCCACTGGTAGAGAAGGATGAGTAATCTGCTCCCATGCAATTTTTTGCCTCTGAAAACCTGCTGGAGGATCAGCTATGAGTCAGTTACAACTTGATGGCACTTAACAGCCACAACCAGCATAACGTGAATGTGTTCTAGTAGTTGAACAGTTAAATGCTTTGTTACTAACTAGTAGGTCTGTGGTTTGAAACCACCAGCTGCTCCTTCAGAGGAAAGACTTGAAAACTTACTTCTCTAAATAATCAAGTCTAGGAAACACTGTGGGAAAGTCCACTCTGACATAGAGTCTTCATGTTTTAGACTTATCTTGTGGCGCACAAAAATGACAGCTTCAGGCGGAGATAGACCGTCAGAGGGTATCGGAATATCCTGGAACTCCCATCCCTACTGAATCCTCATGCAGCAGTTTATGAAGAAGACTGATGGCTGGTCAGATGAGATGTTTATGGTCAGTCAGTTTCACTATTTGGTATTTCTCATTCTTCCTTGAACAACCTAAACTTCTGTTGCAACATAACATCTCAGTATCCTTCAAAGGAAGGAGGCAGTGAAGGTTTAATGACAGAATTCTCACCCATCCTCTAGGGCATCCCAAGTGCAGCAACTGTCACACTTTCAGTAGTGAATTCTAAACTAATATAAAGTAGGAAGAAAGGCTTAGAGGTCTTCTTTCAGAAAAATAAACTGAGAACTCATAGCTGACCCTCCACTGGGTTTCTGAGGCTGTTAATTGCATGTGGGGAGGTTGCCTACCTTTCTCTCTCAGAGCCAGTGGAGTCCTCAAACGGCCATCGATGCTGTCTTTGCATTATAGCAGTGTGATTCCCTATGGGTTAAGCCACTAAAGCTGCCTTGAGGGGGTAGGGAAAAAGAACCACTGACACTGAAAACATAATGGTTCAAAAACTGTCTCAACACATCACATACGGGGTTGCTACGAGTGAGGGCTGAAACAATATGGTTAGCAACAACCTTTAAAAGGAGAACAACAGAAGATAATCCTAGCATTACATGATTCGAAAAACATTACTGCTTATTCCAAAGTTCCAGCAATGATTCAGTTGAAACAAGTTTAGTTACCTACAAGCTGATTAAATAATCCTTGATGTGAGTCATACATCTTATGTCATTTGCCCTTGCTTAGTTACCTGACATCATTCATTGTTAGTAATTCCTCCTTTCTCCTTCCTTTTTTATCCAATCTTTTGGCACTGATTCACATCCATGACAACTACAAACTGTGTAAAGTTCCTCCCTCAGACTGTTATTTAAAGTTCAACTGCCATTACTAGCTTTTTTTAAAAAAGAGATCATGAAAACTGTGACTGGGTGGCACAATTAAATCCTTACTCATCAATGCTGAGGAGCCTAGTGTCTTTGCCATAGACGATGGGTGTGCTAACGTCAATCTAGATCTTCCTCTGCCCACTTTACTTAATTGGACCACTTTTAGGCATAGTCAGCAGTTCTGAATCATTTGTTCAGATTGTTTGAGAAGCCAAGTGCTCATTTCTGGCCTTGTCAATTATCATACATTTTCACTTTCAGAGCCTCCTTCTATCCTTTCTTTTTTTTAAAGAAGAAAAAGATTTTTATCTGCTTTTTATTAATGCTTATGTTTTTCCAAAGTTATTAAATACCATGTTATGTGCCACCTATGCATTTTTATAGTTTATAGCTAGAAGCTTCCAAGCAATGCTGGATATAGAGAATTTCTTCCTCTTTCTCAGTCTTCTTTATCTTCTCTGTTCTTTTAAATACCAATTCTTCTTTCCCTAATACTGGCCATTGTGGCATCCTGATTTCCTTTAAGCTATTGAATAAACTCCGGAGCTCTTTCCAATGGTTTTTGGAGTGTATTTACTTTGTTATTTTGACTCATTCTCTCCTACTTCCAGAAGGATACCTACAACCCCTGGAGCCACTGGCCTGTGCCACTCAAAACGATCACAGGATATTACTGAATGTTTGCAACTCTGAAGGCTTTGGCAACAAATGAGGTTCAAAGGACAGTGACATCCTCAGTGTGTGGTAGGTCAGAAGCAGGCAAGAGAAAACAAAAAAAACAAAAAAAAGAAAAAAAGGAGGATCAGCTAAAAATTGAAAGAGCCTCAAAAGGGAGCTAGCAGTTCACAGGAGAGGATCAACCTGAGTTCTTTAAATTTTGGAATCTGAATTCTGCTTCCTTCTGGGCATTTAAAAAAAATCTTCAGTGAGAAAACGTGACTCTGAGTCACAAACTTCATGGAGCTACAGACCGTGGCATCACCAGGGTTGGTGTCAAACAGTGTGATAACTCATAGAGCCACCACCTACTCCATGGGCTTTCTCTTGTGTCAGACCACACAGAATTTTTAGCAACATTTACTATCAATTTTGATAATAAATAAGACATAATGTCATTGACAATTGCTTAAATATAACATTACCTCATAGGAATGTTGTTCTTAAGTACTACTGAGTCAAGTATGGCTCGAAGATGTGAATCATGCCCTATCCTTTGCCATCCTTGCCATCACTGACACACGTGAGCCCATTGCTACAGATACTGTGTCCATCCGTCTCATTGAAGGTCTTCCTATCTTACACCAACCCTCCACCTTTCTAAGTATGTTGACCTCCAAGGAACAGCCTCTGCTAACTACATGATCAGAGAATATGAGACAAAGTTTTTGCCATCTTTCCATCCCAGGAGCGCCCTCCCTGCATCCTCTCTAAGTCATATCTGTTCTTTGGGCATTCCCTAGGATATTCTGTCAGTACCTTCTTCCAAAACCACAAGTCAAAGGTCTCAATTCTTCTTCTGTCATCCTTAGTCACTGTCCAGCTCTCAGATGCATAGCAAGTGATCGAAAACAACCTGAATCAGGTGCGATTGAGGACTAAGATCATAGGAATAGTAATAACAAAAGAGCTTTAAAATCTGCACTGAATTGCCACATAATTAAATCAAAACATCAAACACACTGCCATCTAGTTGCTTTCCAGTAGTAGTAACTAGGTGGAAGCCTTGTTAAACGTTTTCCTCCTTCTTTTCCTTTAATGATGACTTCATTCTCAAGTCATTGACACCAGGTAACAAATGTTAGTTACTAAAACATTATAGCTCAGAGTAACTCACTGCTGTGGAACCAGGACAGGCTCAACGCTGATCCTCTCACTGGGCTTCCAGAGGCTGTAAATCACACAGGAGGAAATTGCCTATCTTTTCTCCTGTGGAGTCACTAGAGGCTTTGAACAGCCTGAGAGAAACCACCTTTGAGTTAGCTCCCTATGGATTATGTCACCAGAGCTCCCATATATTATAGCCAAAACACCAGAAAATGTAACAAACACTAGCAGCAATGACAACAACAACACTGGTTTGTAATCACGCAGAAGAAATCACCTGGGTTGAAGTGCCTTTGTAATTGGTAATGGCAGTTCTGATCAATATACATCAGAAGGTTCAAAAAGTAAATTCTCAGAGAGTATTTTTCCCTTTAGGTATATGTAAGGTAGACTTAATGAAAAATTATTTTTTGCCACTAAATCTAGGTACAGGCTATTTTTATAAAAATAATAAATTTATGCCAAATAATGCACATAAATTTTATAGTAGTCACCCTGGTGTAACCCCCTTTAACAGTATTACCCAGTGTGGGTCACAGGCAACACAAAACCCTAAAGATATTAATGACTCTACAAACATCTCATCACTTTGGCAAAATAGACTCTGGGATTCTTTTGTGTGTTTACTACATGCTGCTAAAATCAGTAAATCATAAAGACTGATGCATTTAATGTCTTGCCTTGCCAGACACATCAGAAGAATCTGGTTTTTGCCAGTAATACTACGGTGGCTTCCCATAATGACTCAGCTCTCTTACTTAAAATCCAAAACTGATATTTTAGGAGGTTGTAGGTCACCAACCTGCCAGCCTTGTAATTTACACTGCTGGAGAACAAGCCGACATTTCTCCTCAGCAGACAGTTTCTTCTCACCCAGGAATGTGTCAGTCAATGGCTTAAACCTGTGAAAAGCAACAGGGACATGAAAGGAAAGAATTGAATTTAATAGCCTTAATGGTGTTTCTCAAATTTTACACACTCTGATTGTATCCCAATAATACACAGATATTCCATACATTGTGCATTTAATGGGTGATTGTGAGTAATCTTATTGCTGAAATTAAAAAAAATTAAAAATTGAATATAATATTTGATGCATTTTTAACATTATTATGGAGTGACACATTTATCAAAATAACATTTGAAGATTAAAAATAGGTATTAGTAGTCATTTAAGTATTTGTATTTAAAATATTTCATGACATTTAATATTTAATAATACTCTCCTTTTAAGAAATTTAAGCATTTTTATTACCACTTCATAATACATCAAAATGTAGTTCGACTTCATGTTGAGAATATATGAAAAAAATCATCCCCATGGGAATCTCTCTGACACTTCCTTCTCAGAGCTAAGTCATAGCTCACAAGTTAAAAGAATGCTATCCTTCAGGATGACAAGCCTTAATAGTAGGGGGTCCATGTAACATCCCAACTTCTGACTAGCTAGTCAACAACCTGAAGCATGCTTCCTACTATCTTGTCAGGATATCACCAGCAACCCTGAGAATCCAGATATATTCTTTCTGTTTAAGTTGGTCTTTATTTCTACTTTCAACTTATAGTGACCATACTCCCTTGGGCTTCCAAGGATATTAGTCTTTAAAGGAGGAGATGATTCCTATTTGTCTTGTAGAACTGCTAGTAGACTTGGACTGCCAACCTTTTGGTTAGCATTCAAAATATATTACTCACTACATTACCAAGTTCCATAATTCACTGGGATTATGGAACACCGTTAGGTTATGTAAGTCACTGGAACAACTCAAATAATTCATACAGACTATATACCTTTGCCTTTGGACTTATATACAATATATGATGCATGAAAAAGGACAGACACTGACCATGACTTCACTTTACTTGTATCCATAATCAAGACACTTAGTACCAGCAGTTAGGAGATCACAACGTGTATTGCACTAGGAAAGTCTATAGTCAGGGACCTCTCTAAATTCTTAAAGAGTGACTATGTCATTTTGAGGACAAAGGTTCAACTTGATTCAGGCCACAGCATTTCAGTCATTTGCTGTGTATCTCAGAACTGGACAATGAATAACGATGATAGAAGAATTGATGTCTTTGAGCTGTGGTGTTGGAGAAGAGTACTGACGATCCCAGGGACCACCAAAAGAACAAATATATATGTCTTGGAGAAAGTACAACCAGAGTGCTCCTTGGAGGCAAAGATGATGAAGATTCTTCTCTCATACTTTGGAATGTTGCTAGG